AAACAAACTGGGTTGTACCCTGAAGCTGCAGTCTTCATTTTTGAAATTATGATTTTCCTTGTCTCCTTTCTGCCTAGTTTTTAATTCTATCCTACCTCAGAGCCATCAACTTGAGCAGCAGGAAAATAATCCATTCCAGCTGACAGTAGCTAACTCAGTCCAGCAAGTGAAAAGGGATGAAAAAAATATGGAGTCTACTGTACCTTGGTAGGCATGGGCTTCTTAAAGGTGATTTCAGCTTGCAACCACACACCCCTAGGGGACTCTAGTACAGACCAGATCTTCTCTTGAACCACGTGGTTTTCTTCAAAGATATAAACAGCTAGAGTGTCAGTCATTTTCAAAAAACCGTAGATGGCATAATGAAAACGCAGGCAATACTGCAAGTTTCCTGGTAGGGAGGGACCATAGAGCCTCCCAATGTAGCCAGGCTGAGATGTAAATTTCGTGTTGGCCAGCAAGTAATAACCTGCAAAACATGACAAAATATTTAGTGCAAGAGTAATGTAAAATAATCTATGCCAGAGAAGCAAGAGATTAGGGCACAGCAGACTGGCTGGGGAAGAAAGTGTGACCTGTAATTGCAAAGTTCCAGGACACATCACAAAATAGCTCCCAATGTCCTTCGTGTGGACTTCTCGCGAGAACTTGAGCAGTGTTGGACAGGACCACCCAGACCTGACGCCAGCCTGAACAGTGGAAGACGCACATCCAGCGGTTGCCACTGAGCTCGCTGCTCCCTTGTTCTTCCACTGTAGTCGTCCACTTTCACCCTGGGGAGGGTCCTTCTTTTCCTACTTTTACTTGGCCCAAACTTGCTCTGGAGCTCATGCTTATTTTCCTACTTTACTAAATGTAAAACCTTGTCACTGTTTGCACTTATCTTGACCAGTTCTTTGCTCAAGAAAGAAAGAACCTAGAAACCAGCTCTAGAAGAAGATGTCAGCACTGCAAAACCCAGTAACATAAGATTATGAAGTGGGCAATTTGGTGAAAGTAGTGGGACTTGTCAGCAGTGACTTTACAACAGAAGACATACTGTAGTGTCTGTGGTTTAAGTTATAGAATGAATCTATATGCCTCTACTGCAAGTAAAACCTCCCCAAATCCTTAGATTGCCTACTAACTCCACCCAGATTCTAGTTGAATAAGAAGAAATAAAAATAGGTATAAAGGAAACAAGAAAAACCATAATTTTAACAATGAAAACTGCAGCTTCAGGACACAAGCTCAGTTTGCTTTTGCCTCTTCCTTCTCCCAGGACACAATAAGCCTGGGCAATCTCCTTTCACTCAGCCTCTGTCTGGATCACTCACTCTACAAGCTAACCGCAGCTTCCCTCGGAGAAACGTTCCTAGGTCTCCAGCCCAAATCTGGTTCTACCTTCTCTATTCTCAGAGTTTACTTTACGTTTCTTCTGTGTCACTGAGGGGATCAAAACATGTCTTGCCCAAATATGCTGCTTTGGTATGTTGATTACGTTATACTGGTGGCATTTGAGAAAACAAACAAACAAACCAACAAAAAACAGAGGCAGGAAGGACTATGCCTCTCCACTTTCTACCTAAAAGGAGGTCATCAAACTTGCTAGGATCAAGGTGCCCTTCCTGCTCCGGAAAGGGGAAAAAATTTGTATTGCCAGGGCGTGGGAACTGATGCCAGGGTAGATCTGTACAAATCAACCTACTAAACCAACCCTGACCATTCATTAGTTTCCTCCATGTATTCCTTGGCTAGTTTTTTCCCTATAGTTTACTACTCCTTGAAGCTTAAACCCTTTTTCTTTCCTTTGACCTCTTCACCACTCTATCATCCTTTGTAAAAGATGATATACAAGTTCTCAGGCCTCTGTCCTTCTCTAGGTCTTCACTTTCTTCACTGAAGGCTCTCATATGCAAATCAAAATATTAAATAAAATGTGTTAATGTATCAACCCATTTTATATCAGTTTCATTTTTGGCTTCAGTCACAGAAACTAAGAGGGTAGAGAACAAGTTTTCCTCCTGACAGCACTTGCTATAAACTTCTAATTACAAGGTATGATTAAAAAACTATGACTATTACTTTTTTCCTTAAAATATCTTATTATACTAAAAGACACATAGCCACGAGTCACCCTCAAAATACTTTCCCTGGCTTTGAACATACTTACAGAATTGTTTTGGCTGCTTTTTGAAATGTTTACCTTTCACGGGCCTTTCTGTTTTGGGGATGAGCCCGGAGGGTATGTTGCCAGATCCACTAAAGAAGGTGGAAGAGGACACACTCACTCCCTTGACAGAAGCTGCTACAAATGTCTTGATCGATTCAGGACATCTGGGCAGCAATGACAGTGCAACTGAAGACCCTCATGAAAGAGGATTTCCAGAACTGCTTTAGAAAATGTTAGAATGACAGATCAGTGTGTAAAGAGGAGTATTTGGAGGAGGGTTAATGGCAATGTGTCTTTGACTGTAATCAATTTTCATTGTAGAAATTCAATGTAATTTTTAAAAATCACACTCTGTATCAGTTTGTTTGTGTGTGCATTTGTCTGATGCTTCCCTTGCCCATGGGAGTGACTGTCAGCCAGCAAGGGTGGGATTCGCAGTAGACTTGTTCACTACTGTATCCTCCAGGCACGAGTCCAGCCAGGCTGGAGGAGGTTTTGCAGGGCCTGTATTTCTTCAGTTTAAGCAATCTCTAAGAAAAGAGCATAAAATCACAGGTACTAAGACTACAAGGGTTCCTTCCAAGGCCTTTCTTGGGTCCTTTGCAAATGAGAGGCCCTGGAATTTAAGCTTTCTCGGCTTCTGGGGAAATTCAGTCCAGTGCTCAGAATATAAAAACTTGAAAAATAAATGAATGAGATACTAAACCCCTTGAGACAAGCCCTTCCTACTGGTCTCCCCTGTGATGACAGCCACAAACGATGTCGTTAAAATAATCGGCATCCATACATACACATGGCTCAAACTCTGAATTTTAAGGTCTCCCTGTAGATACACTCATTAAGCATTCACTCAATAGCTCTCAGTAGTCCCCACATTGTAGTTCTTATTGCAGCAAAACACGTCATATAAAATTTACCAATTTAACCATTTTAAAGTGTGCACTACAGTGTTATTTCGTACATTCAGAATGCTGTAAAACCATCACCATTATCCAGTTTCAGAACATTTTTATCAGTTTAGAAGGAAACCCTGTACCCATTAGACAGTCTTCCTCCAGTCCAGTCCTTGGCAACAATGAATTTGCTTTCTATCTCTACAGCTTTGTCAGTTCTGGGGATTTCATATAAATGGAAAGTAATAGTTCTTCAAAAGCATCTCATCTAAAGTGAAAAATAAAATAATTTCCAAAGGGTTGGCTATTTTAATAACTTGCAAATACTTTTCTTATCACACCACTTTGAACTAGTCTTTAAAGAAGGTCAGACGTAAGATTGCTGATTATCTTTGCTTCTCTGCAGCTGCTTTATTTTTTTTTTAAGTCAATGTCTGTAAGAAGGGCCAGTGATCCACTGATACATAAATACTACCCCAAAATGTCTCACATGGACAGACTTTCGACCTACCTAAGCCTGTAGTGTGGTCTCCAGTCCGATACATGTTTGGCTTTACTTTCACTCGGGTCCAACCTGGACCTTCTTTGTCTTGGTAAAAGTTGCAGAAGTCTTCCTCAAAATTACAGCTTGCTTCTATGGCACTGAAAGGAAGCTCTGAGAAAATGAAAACCAAAATTATGGTCAAACCTAAGGATCTCAAAGGACTAACAGAAATACCTCAAGTGACTAAAGACTTTGTTACATTTGTGCCAGGGATTGAGATGGAGGAAGTGAATCACTGCAAAGTATTTTACAGGAAAGGCAGGTTGACAGGTTAGCAGCATACCAATGTTTCAACATGACAAGAAAATTGTTCTTTTCCTCTCTAAAGGGAGAAGAGAAGGAGCCCCATTCACATTCTCTATAAAAAAATAGGTTAGTACCAGACTCCAAAAGAAATTTCCTTTCAGGGTGTAGAGATGATGTGTAGTCTCTCACACACTTCTTCATGATTCAAAATTCATTCACAGAAAATTTAAAAGGAAGAGAAAGGAAAGGATTTTAGGGGCCTCAATATCACTTGAAGACATTTAGGAAACTCTATTTTCTAGAAACGATTTTTCTTTGTTGATCAATCTCTGGGTCAGAATCAGTAGTTTAGGAGCTGATCTGCATGGACAAAAGCAGCACCCAGGATAAACCATGCCGTTCAGAAGCCACACTTGATCCATTCTGGGGGTTGGTTTGTGGGCTTTGCTGAGTGCTAGTATGGTTTACCCCAGCCTAAGTGTCACCTCCTCCCAGATTACCAGGGTGGAATGGAACATAAGAGATTTCTTCACAGTCGTGAAAAACCTTAGCCCTGTTGACAAATGACTTGTAAGCCTTATGGTTTTGACTTCCCTAAGGGTTAAGAGCGGACGTGATGGTGACAGCCTGGGACATAGTTAATGTAGTCAAGTGTGATCCTGGTCTGTAGGCTGATAGACATGTTAGCCAGCAGTTCCTGGGCCAGGAAGAAAGGATGCTGCTTTGTATACATGGAAAATCAGCTCTAGAGAAAGTTTTGGGTTCTGGGAGGCCACGAGAGTTTGTGACATGGAGAACTGTGAGGGACAAAGACTCACTGTGTTCTCAACTTGTTAATTTTCAAAGAAAGAAAACATTTAAATGGACTGAAGAATTGACCCATATTCAAGGGGTGCAAAGAAGCATGGCAACCAAATACTACAAAGGATCCAAGATCCCAGCTTGGTCAGGGCAACATTGTTGTGAAGGGTGTCGTTGGTGCAACTGGAAATAATGGTGTATGGACTTTTAAGTTAGCTGGCGATCAGTATAAAATTTCCTGAACTTTATATTTATCTTATAGTTATACCGGAGAGAGTGTTTGGTTTTAGAAAATACACAATGAAATATTTAGGGATAAAAAGGCACAAACTCTTAAACGACTTTTAAATATGGCAAAATGTTAACCATTAGTATTTCTGGCTGAAACATATATGGGAATTCTCTACAGTATTCTCACAAATTCTGTCTGAGTTTGAAATGAAACAAAAATAGTTTCTAAAAGACAAAAATATTTAAAAGAGTAACACCACCTTAAAGGAAAAGAACGAGAGGGAAATTTCCCTGTATATTGCAACCTGATAGTATCTCAGGCTTTATGCCCTAGGAACAAAGCCAGAGAGGAGAAAAAGAAATTAATACAACTCTCAGGGCTCTCCCGTCATGGATTAACTCATACTCTGCTATGCTTGATTCTGTCAGCACCAAGGTATATCATAAGCCCTCAAGACAAAGTCTGTGAAAAAAAGAGTATGATATCTACCAATGGGGATCCTTCAAATTTCTCCAGGGGAGATTTAAAACCACCCTATGATGGTCTCCAGTATTAGTCAACCCTCTGCTGCCTGGTAGTGAAAAATAAAAAAAATTTAAAAAACAAACGAAATCAACAGATGACCATCTAACTCGGGAAACACCAAGCACAAAGTCAATGACAGGCCAGCAAAATTACTAACTTGGAAGATAAAATAGCAGTGCTATTTATTAGTTATGACTGTTCTTTGGAGCACAGGAGATTGAACCCAGGGCCCTAAACTTGCTAGACAATGTTGTACCACTGACTTACACTCTCAGTCATTCTTATTTTTTATTTTGAGACAGAGTCTTGCCAAGTTGCCAGGCTGGCCTTGAACTTGCAATTCTCCTGCCTTTCACCTCGTCCCTTCACCACCCTGCCTGGCTCAGTAATTTTGTATCTAACCACCATAGTGTGAGAAAAGCCAGTAGGTGAAACGACACATGAATTGCTACATGAAGAAAATGGAATATCATTTAGTGCCAAAAAGAAATTAGCTTTTGAGTCAAGAAAATACATGGAGAAAACTTAAATGCATATTACTTATATATTACATATAAATCATATATATTACATATATTACATAAATATATATTACATATATTACATATATGGCATTCTGGGAAAGGCAAAACTATAGAAAGAATGAAAGATCAATGGTTACCAGGGGTAGCTAGGGATACTCTATATGACACTATAACATAGATACATGTCCTTATACATTTGTCCAAACTAGAATGCACAACACCTAGAGTGGATCTTAACACACACAGTGATGTGTATGTTGGGAAGGACATATAAGAGATCCCTATACCTTCTGCTTAATTTTGCTGCAATCCTAAAAGCTCGCTAAAGTATAAAGTCTATTAAAAAAAAAAAA